CTGTCATTAATCTGTCTAACCGTTAATCCGGACGCCCTTATTGTGTTCAAATAGGGAGGACTTTTTTCAGAGTATTAAATTAATAGGTTTAGTTTTTCACGTGGTTTGAAGAAGCCGGAAGACTTGTAGCACCGGTGCCATGCGGAGAAGTCACGTTACAATTGTAGCTATTTATAACCCTCCATCCTTGCAGTGTCGGCATCAATTAAGGAAATGAAATGACAAACAAAATGGAAAATACATAAAATGATAAATACATGCAATGACAAGGTCAAGATAAACGACTCGAAGAATTATATACACAATACGCGTTATTTTACAATGATTGTTTTGTAGAAGTACTCACTAGTGATTTTATTTACTGGTTATTTTGTTGGTGTGTTTCAGATACTTAAAATTGCATGGTAATTGACAACTTCAGCCTCTTTGTTTAAGAATTTTATGTTTTAATCTTTATATTGTACCTAGCGCTGAGACGAATGTTGTGAGCGGTTTTTAAAGAAGTCATTATTATTATTATTATTATTATTATTATTATTATTATTATTATTATTATTATTATTATTATAGTTAACGACATTTATACGATGTAAAAATATAACAGTAGCAGTTGAGTAGAGTGGTCAATAGTGCACACTGACCCTATTTATTTCTATTAAGAACTCACCCCATTGCTCCGAGAACAACTAATACAATATGAGAGGTAGCATCGATCAATATAGCACTGAGGTGTGTGTGTGTGGGGGGGGGGGGGGAGCATTTGAAGGACCCAACGATGTGGACAAAGTGAGAAAAAAGAGATTTAATGAGGACTGTATAAATGTAAATTAATAGTTATTTTTTCAAATAGAAAAAACACTATAATGACTATTTAATTGCCATTACTGCAACATTCTTATTTCTTAAAAGTAGTTGACAATATTGGTGTCATGCATATATACCTCAATAAGCTAGCATAAACCTCAGTTTCTGCAGGCTAAATGCATCTGGAAAACGAAAATACTTAAAACACATAGTTTAACCAGCTTCTGGCAATTTTCAGGTTGTTGACGGAGATTGCATGTACCGGCCCGATGCGGGTGACGTCATTGTGTGTAGGAGTTGTTCAATGGGAAATCGCGTATCGGCACACTGCACGCGGGACGCCGACACTCAATGTACTCCCTGCGAACCAGGAACATACGCCGACACATGCAATGACAACTTCGAGTGTAAGCCGTGTGACACAGGTTAGTGGAGTCCCACTTAAAAAGAATACAAACATCCGTATAACTAAAGTATACGTGTATGTTTTCAGTAAAATTTAAACAAACCAATATTTTCGCTTGTCTTAGGGTTATTTCAAAACAGATCTAAAGAAACCAAAGAACATTAAATATATTGCTTTATTATAATAATTTAAAACAAACCAATATTTTTGCGTGTCTTAGGGTTCAGAGCAGATATAAAGAAACCAAAAACCATTAAATATTACAAATGTTCGTATACTGTAGTTATAGGGATATTTGTGTTCTTTTTATCGCCAGTTTTATTTAATCGACTTATCATCAGTAATTTTAATGCAATTATCATTAGTCATTAATGTTTATATACACATATACAGATGATAAAGACCGAAAAAAATTGATAGGACATAGCACTGTTTTGTTTAAGATGCTAATATCACTACAAAAATGCAAAACAATCCACAGATATTGCTTAACGTAAAGAATTGCATCAGATGAGGCAAAAAATATTGTTTTGGTGCATTCATATTGCATTAGATAGGGTGCCTAAGCATTTTATATTCAAGAAATGCAATTGTTATTTTTTTAAATTGATGAGGAAAGGCGTATTTCATTTTAAATATAATAATAATAATAATAATAATAATAATAATAATAATCTTTTTCCCCAGAGTGTCGAGGAGAGGGCTGGATGGTGAGCGTTCCTTGCACCACCACAGCAAACTTACGGTGTAAGTGTGGTCCAGGCTATCAGTATCGGTGGAGAAACGGCATCATTTACTGCCAGAAATCACCGCCAACAACAGGTCAGTGTACAGTCATGTACGCGCCGCACGTATAGTTGATCACACCTTATTTGTGTCACTGTTGCTTTTTTTTTTTTTTTTTTTTTGGATATCGACTTAATTAAAAATTATAATTGAGATTTCTGTTGTCCTATGTTACCCATAACAGTATATCCCATTTTTGTCACAGCGCCACCTGTTACGTCGACACCTCCCACAACCAGACGAGGCGCCCCCACCCGGCAGTTCACGCCATCAACCAAGACAACCACAACCACAACCAGTAAACCAGTCGCCAGCTCCTCAACCACAGTGAAAGCTAGCGTGGCGCCGCCTAGGGCACTGCAAAATACAGGTAACGGCTCTTTGTTTGAACATGATATTAGTTTACATGTTGTATTGTATGTGTTAAGTTGTATTTGCTTTTTTTTTTTTGTTACATGTAGGCCCTACACCCTATACTTTTTATTGTGAGGGAAGTGAGTAGGCCCTAAATGGAATCTTTCTGAAGCTAAGGGGTGGGGACGTGACCCACGCCACCTTCCCTGTAGATACCGGTATAAGTATATTACAAATGGAATTATCTCTTCACTGGATGAGCTTTTTTCACTTCATACGAGCAAGTATTCATCTAGGCTACTTCGCGTAGTAACAAGCAGTATTCCTTTTGGCAATATTTTGTAAATCTCATTATTTATTTTCACAGGTGCCGAATTTCAACCAAAATATGGGGTCCTCTTCTACGTGTTCCACGGGGTTGAAATCGGATTGTGTATCATCATTCTTCTCTTTTTATGCGGAGTCTTAACAAAATGTCGACCAGTGAAAAAGTCGAGTTTCTTCAAGCCCGGAGTGTTGACGTACCCGGGATCGAGGCTAGATGACATAGATGGAAAGGTGGATTACTTGGCCCAGGAGCTCGGCTATTACCGCCATGAGCACGCGCCGAGCACGTTAGACAGGATACTGCAGGCCTTGGAATTGCGTCGGGGAATTCAAGTAATTGACTCCGGTTCCCACTATCGCCTGCCACCGCCTCACCATTACAGCAAGGCTTGACTTGTCACGTGGAACAGAGATCATTCTGAAATTGGAGCGTCTAGCGCGAGATCTGATTCGAATGTGCTTTATATGCGAGTGAAAAGCACGTCGTTCTCTTGTTACTGAAGCAACACTAGACCAAACTCAATATGACGTCACAAACTAGTACGTCCATGGCGCCAGTGATGACGTAGGATGTCTACGTGACGTCAAAATATGAGAGTGCGACAATCTTTCAAACACTGAACCCAAAATAGGTAAGCTTACCGCTACATTTCCATGGTAAAACCCCCTAAACTATCATCTGTTAGTCATGATAACTATGCAAGCGAAGCAGAATCCCTTGACAGGAGCCGTCCAAAAGCCGTTGTAATGAAAACACTTGCTGCTTAATTTGGCTTACGTCACGCTGAAGGTTAACCCCAAACAGACAGTGAATTCGTGGCAGTGACTACGGACATGTTATTACTAGGGGTCTAACTTTCCGCCGTTAGAGGGGTATACTTCTCAAATCTGCGTATAGCAATGTACATGTACTGTTCTTAAAGTACATTTCAGCCAGCTTCGTGATGTTATAACAATTTGTGTGCTTTCTCTGGCGGTACAAGATGATGATTATGTCAGCACCACCTGCCCGTTTTACTTCGAGAGCTTCTAACAGACGCTGCAGCATTAAGGCGTCTTATTTAAACTGTTAAGGTACATGTATACCCTAAACACCAATGTAAGGAGAAGTCGGAGGGGGAGGAGGGCGGTGAGGAGACACAGAACATTCCTCTAAAAGGGACCAGAAAGGGGTAGTGGTAACGGTAAAATGTTTTACCTCGCATCGCTCGGCAAATGTTAGAGAACAGACGGGGGCCATAATATTAACATATATGCAGGGCATTGGTTTTAAAAAAATTGGGTTTGTTTCATGTCGTTCATTATACCGTTTTATAATTATAATAATTTTATTTTATTATTATTATTTTTTTTTTTTTGGGGGGGGGGGGGGGGGCTGGGGGAGAGAAGGGAGGTCCGCATGTGTCCGGTGTGCACCCCACCTATCCGCCATTGTTACTGTGAACACAGTGGGGATTTTAATTCTATTTTTAACGTCAAGAGCACGTCAACTGTCAACTAATTGTTAACAGCGTGTCATATTTTTAAATTGCTGTCTTATACGTACTTTTTATTGTAGAAAATTGTTATGAAATTGTGTAACGTAAATATTTTTGTTTTAATTTTGTGAATAGCATTTTATTGTAGCATTTAATTGTCCGTTTTACGTCTGCGACGTACATATCTTTTACTTTATAGAGAAAATCATTGCATGCTTTAGCAGCAAATAAACACGTCTTTTTAGGATACTCGTGTCGGCGTCCTTCAATTATGATTTTTCATCCTTGAAGACATTTCACACGTGCAAATTTGAACCCTAAAAGCAACAAAGTTATCATAAAACAATTTTTTTATTTAAACCGAACAATACATTTTTTTCAGAAAATTGTTTTCCCATCAACCATATTTTCTTTTGCATTTTTCCAAAATAAATGAACATCCTGAAATATCATACGATTTCATTCATTCTCAAGATGATATTACCACTGAATATTGTTGTTTTAATGAAAACAAGGGTATTTGAAAGTTACACAAAATTTATGCTATTATATTATAATTATAACATGTGTGGGAGAAGCCACTTTCAAAACAACGCCCATGATTATTGGAAGCATTTATGCAGGTAAATGACATTTTGGATTAGAAAAACAATTTCTCCAATATTCTCGTCTTTCTGCAACCCACTCGGCATCGTAACACCTGTGGGGAAGGCAACAAACCCCGGACATAGGCCGGTAGCACTCCAGACCTGAAAAAAAAACAAGTTTTATTATATTTCATAACAAATAAGACATAAACACGTCGACTTACATGTTTTGGTATTCTTTAGGCTTTCACAACATATAACCTTCAACATTAAAAGTGAATAACAACTCTCCTCTCCCCCCCTCCCCTGTAACCGTTTATGAGTAGGCCTACGATATTTTCTTGGAAATATTATTCATCAAAAATTTATGGATGACATCGCAAGATAAGGATCAATTTGTATTAAAAAATAATACGTAAAATATAACAGACTATCTTGAGTAAACAAAATACCTTCGCCACAGCTACATGTGGATGGGTCACATACTTCGCCCTTCTGTTGGAGTTCATTTGAGCACAAACCATACCCTGCAGAACCCGGACCTAAAACAATAGATTGAGTAAATAATTTTTTTTGTTTTTAAAATTGAAATCTGCTATAAAAAATTGAATTAAATGTCACAAATGCCACATGTAGTTTGAATCTCCTTTCCCAAGAAAGAAAACATTTTCAATGAACGTATAGGATTACTTGTTAATTACATACGAAAAATACTGTGTATTCCATGTGAAAACTCATTTGTTTCCCATTTAGGGTTTCCATTTTTAAAAGTATACCTGTTATTTAATATTTTGTTGAAAAGTACTGCTGCTGCGTGTTCTTGCATTGATTCTGTTAACGCCATCATTGTCAACCAACTTACCTCCGCCCAGGAGAAGATCGCCGAAACTTCCCGAGTCCAACCGACCTACCACCGCCCCGCTCTCATCCCGACAACAACTGTTCCTTCCGCACTCTGACGACGACCTGCACTCCTTAGGCTGGAAATGTTACAGTGTTTACATTCAGAAAGATATCGGTAAGAGATCTAGTTCAGGGATTGCTGTAAACAATATGCGGATGAATATCTTAAAGGCAGATCCCGGATGTGAGTTTGGCGGAGGGGCCGGTAAATTATCATTATCGTGCTTAGAAGAATATTTGTCAAGAAAAGGTGCACTTCGAGATAAATAATATGCTAATGTTGTTATATTTCAACATGGATACATGTAGGTGCAGTGACACTTTAATTTAAATTGTAAATCACTCACTGTTACAGTACCGCACTAAGAAGGGCATATTGGGAGGGCCTATAGGGAACGATCGCTCCTCTAAAATGCTCATACTGGATATTCATTTCGATTTTATTTTTATGGTCTAAATAATAATAATAATAATAATAATAATAATAATAATAACTTACCGGTATATCTGGTGTAAGACGAGCTGAGAATGAAACTGGGAAGAGCGTCTGAAATTATCATAGTTTGTATAGTAACCTACTGAACTTGCCGAGCTCTCAAGGGTATACTATCCAATGACTTCTTCATTTAGCGAGAATATAACAGCGCAGATATCGTATGGTGGTTTGGTCTCCCCCCCCCCCTCTCTCTCTCTCTCTCTCTCTCTCTCTCTTATACACTCACGAATACACATACAGACAGACACGTACAGAGAGAGAAGCTAAGAGAGGTGGGGGTAGGAGAGAGAGAGAGAGAGAGAGAGAGAGAGAGAGAGAGGAGGTAGGAGTGAGAGAAAGGGTATATATTGCCATGGTGCCTTCTGTGACTGTATAGTATACTAATATACCCCTATACATGAACCACTGCATGTAGTAGGCTACTAATATATAATACTCTAGAGGCCTACATGCAGTGCGATATCGTATGTTTATACAGTAACATGAAGCAGTGCACTGCAAAACAAAACCAGAGATTTTATAAGTTTCAACACAACATTTAACCGAACAAAACTTATGCTGTAAGGCATTAAACAGACATAATTTAATCAGATTACAAGTTACAATAGCCAGTTTACTTACCACGACAACGGCGATAGCGACCAATGTCTTCATCGTGTGTTGTATAGCCTACTTCAATAATCTCCTCTGTTTTCGTTGATTTAAAAGAAGCTAAAAGACGCCTCTCTTATATACGTGTATATTTCCGTGTCCGTGTCCCTGAATTAAATATACGCAAATCACAGGGGAGTGTTTTAAAGTTTATTTCCGGGTTGTTCCGTTTGAAACAGGACACGTCGGAGTTGATGAATATCTAAAGTTATAAAACACAAATAAATAAAAATATACATAAAAAGATACGTCTTCAAAATATGTATTCTTGCTTCCACACGCGCAGTGTGTAAGGGGATACAGATATACCTTGTTCTTTTTCTCCCTTATTTTTGCTCTCTTCCATCTAGCTAGATCATTTTCTGTTATATTTTCTAGCCTAGGCCTAAGTTTCGGATCCGACAGATAATGATACAGTAGTCATTTTGGCATTTTTGAGAAGATACCTGTATGGTAAAATAAGGAGATGAAGATGAAAATTGATATGGAAAGGGAAGACATCTGTATTGCCCCGATGAGCTGAAAGTGGTTGGGTGGGATAAGCGTTGCCATAATTAGGGACAGGCACTTGCAGATCGAACATATTGCTAAGGGCATGGAGTAGGGGTGGAACGTACAAAATACTGGAGAAATCTGTTATATTTACAGTACAGGCTGGAAGCCGACATTGGCAGGCTATTCAGAACTAGCCTCCTCCCTCAGTATAAAACATGAAAGCGAAATATTTCAGAGATATGTCAAACTCACAGTTTATGTAATGAACAGTAATTAATATATATATAGTCGGGGTAAAATAACTGCTGTTTTTATTTCTTTTTATCACACACACACTCACACACACACACACACACACACATACATATGACAGTGCCTGTAAGAAATCTTTACAATGTCACCTCTGACCGTGAAATCTTGAACATGGAAACGATATGAAGACAAATGCAAAATATAAGTAGTTTTCACTGTAAGTATCTTAACGATAAATGTTATTGGATGGTCCGGTGTACATGTACTTTCCGTGACATTTCCAAGGTCTATGGTATTGATGTCGTTGACAGTTTCGACCGTATTGAAAATCAATTTGCAGCAACTGTCATTTCTACATTGAACCTTTTTTTCTCCCATCTTGCTGACGCTAGTAAGACAATTAGATTTATTTTTGCACATCGTACATTGATCAGTTATGGATATTTTGGAATTGATTTTTTGCAACTTAAATGACGTTTTTCTGCGTGGGAAATAAGACCACTTAGCATTTTGCATCACTTAATGTAATTGTCAAAAACATTTACACAATTGATGTAATTGGGAATAATTATGTCGAGCCTTAAATATCTCTTTTTTCACTCGCTGGATTTCAAGCTTGTTTTTAACCCTGTGTCCCTTACGTTAAGTTCAGACACTGCATCCATAGATACTTTTACAAATCCTCTTCAAGAACAAATTTATTTATATGAAATAAAACATACACACCAGGTCTCCCCCTTTGATAACACAATACGATTTTAATAGGTACTTTACATTATTTAGCAGAGGGATTGAATTAGCCACAGATTTTTCAATTATTTCCTGGGCTTGTTTCTTTTGGCAATAAAATAATAACCCCATAAACAGGAATATTCGATAGGCATCCTTTGACAAACCTGCAATTCGATGCACACAGTAAAAATACGCCAATAGATAGCTTGCCAAAAAAAAAAAAAAAAATACAATTCACTTGTAAATCAATCCATAAGTTTAATTACAGGTTTTCAAATTATCGATGTAAATATTTACAAATGCCTTCATCATTTACACCGCTAAAGGCACCTTTCAATATATAATCAATAGGGGAAAAAAATGTCAGCGCTGTCATAAAGCGTTTTGTTAGCGTCTGAATCATTAGTGTCTCTGTAGCAGTATAAGAGGTCGGTGTGACCCTGTACTGTGTACCAGAAGACCTGGCAGCAGAAGACTTAAGCATCATGGTGCTGATGCGATCCCTTGCTTGTGAGGTCTTGGTGTGTTTGATTATATTCAAAGGTATGTTAATTCATATGAAAATTAGGCGTTATCACTGTCATGTTTGCTTGATAAACTGTTAGTATATCTCTAGTCATGAAAATCTGCCAAATACCCCAAAAAACGTATTCGGTATCACGGGGCACGTTGGCCCACCTGACATCAGGTGTGTTTTTGTCACATTGCTAGCCATGTGGCATTACATTTTCAAAACAATAACGTTGCACATCTGTAGCCAAGTCCTTGTCGCTCGTTCTAAAACCGGTTTGGCGCGCTAACTTACTCTCATTTGGCCAATAGCTTGCCAAAAAATATACAATTCACTTGTAAATCAATCCATAAGTTTAATTACAGGTTTTCATATTATCGATATAAATATTTACAAATGCCTTCATCATTTACACCGCTAAAGGCACCTTTCAATAAATAATCAATAGGGTTAAAAAATGTCAGCGCTGTCATAAAAGCGTTTTATTAGCGTCTGACTCATTAGTGTCTCTGTAGCAGTATAAGAGGTCGGTGTGACCCTATACTGTGTACCAGAAGACCTGTCAGCAGAAGACATACGCATCATGGTAGTGAAGCGATCCCTTGCTTGTGAGGTCTTGGTGTGTTTGATTATATTCAAAGGTATGTTAATTCATATACAATTTGGCGTTATCACTGTCATGTTTGCTTGATAAACTGTTAGTATATCTCTATAGTCATGGCATGAATTCGAAACCTGCCAAATACCCCAAAAAGTATTTGGTTTCACGGGGCACGTTGGCCCACCTGACATCAGGTGTGTTTTTGTCAAATTGTGACCCATGTCGCAGAACATTTGCAAAACAATAGCGTCTATGCATTGTCGACATTTATAGGGTGTTTAAAAAGTTACTTATTTAAAAGCCAAAGACTTCAACAGTTCACAAGCCTTTGAATTAGAACTTTACGCAGACATTTGACATCTTTATTTTTTGGTCAATCGTGAAAATGTCAGTTGTTTAAGTGAAACAGTTTTGATATAATCATCAAATCCCAAAACACGTGACAAGTTCACAACTGCCAGACACTGTCAGAAGTCATACAGGCCGGCTGGACATTTTTTTTTTAAATATTTAATTAATTTTTTCAGTGTGCCAAAACTAAAAGAGCATAAACATGGAATTTTCAGCATTTATAAAAATATCATTTTTACTAAAATATCTTTTACTATCCAAAGGGGAAAATAAAACTACATTTTTGTTTTGTTCAATAATTGCAATGAAGGCGAGAGGGAGTCACCTGGAAATATACTGACAGTCAAAGAAAACGCATCATTTATTTATCAAGTAATATTTTTGTTCCTTTGGCACATTAAGAAAATAACAGTTTACGTGTGAAATATGACTCATTATTCAGTTACTCAAGGTGAAATAAAGGTCAGAAAAGATCATTAAAATGCAAGGTCACGTAAGCAAATCTCTTTGGTTCCGCCCATCCTCCAGCATCCCCAGGCCCCGCAGTCACTCTTTCAGTGTCAGACGTGGCATCACTGAACTTTTTTCTCATGTACGTGTCACACTGGATTTGGTGACTAGCTTAAATAGGCGTAATTAATCGCCATATATTAAACCTGATTAATTTACACCAATCACGAGACAGGAAAAACACATGATTTTGTAACAACTGGTCACAAAATCACTGAAGCGGAAATTTTAAACATCCTAGTGGTCAGCCCACTCCCTTATGAACAAACAAGTACATTTGTATTCGTTTAAATGGTTGGAACCGATTCTCGGTAAAAAATAAAAGAAAGTTTTCTGATGCGTTTTCGCTGACTGTACTGTCAGTATATATTTGAATACATGGATAGTATGACCATGATAGAAAACCATTTAGCCAAATGGTAATTATTGCAGGTTCTATTTAAGCGTCGTACGCTGTCAAAATAATGTATGAAGACTAAAGATACTTGATGATGGATGTTCTGAACTGAATGACTTTATAGAAATGTATGTTTGTTTCAGTTGGAATCAAAAGCAGAGTAAGATCGTAAAAGAAAATTGCTCCTTTCGAATTCTACTATTTGTCACTGCTGTAGCTCTTAAAACATAATTGTGTGACACTACACCCTACAACTAAAATATTACTCTTATTTTTGTCCTTGCTACATGTACTCCGAAAATGAATAATCTAAGGTTATAAGGCTGTGTAGGGAGAGTTTACATAAGATTTAAAAACCATAATTACCTGTCTTTCTGTCAAGTGTTACTGTTAGACTTTTTTATGGTGTCCCGGACAGTGACACGCATGCTTACAAATTGTAGCTAGAAAATATGTACAGCTTGCATAACCAGGCGCCTTCGTAATCCATATAAGCATGCCTGTTGTCAAAGGCCTGGTACTAGGAAAATGTTTCTTAAGTGCATACATTTGAGGGCGAAAATAAATTCACATTTGAAGGTTTGCAAAATGTGCTGTCCTTTGTGGTTTTTTTGTTGTGGTCTTTTTGTGTTGTTAATGAAGGAGAAGTTTTTTTTCATCTTTATACTCCGTTCCCCCAAAAAAGAGAGAATAATGTGGCATTAAGGGCAGCGACGCTGTGAAAAATTAGGGGCAAAAAGAAACTAGTACATCTGTGTTTGTCGCTCAGACGCTGCCCTCTAGCTATACCAGGTACACGTGTATGCATAGGTATTGATCGTTAAAACATAATGAGTAAAAACATAACATGAGCAACACGTAAATATGTCCAGTGGCCCGAAGGGTCCCGTAAATAAACAGAAAGCACTTTGTTTTACTGGAGTAAAAACATGACCCAGCTGTTAAGGCGCCATGACTAAGTCCGCATGTCGAAGATCCTAGCAACTTGATGCTGGGATTGGAATTGTAAGTAAATAAACAAATAAACTAAATTTGAGCCTTGCCTAATGCAAGTCCTTCAAAACTACAAAATGTTGCTACGACTACCAAAAAAAAAAAAAAAAAAAGGAAGACTCTTACATACAAAACGGCAACAAACCTGGAAATCAAAGGAAAAAAATGGTACATTGTAAGCGGGCTGCAGAGAAATGTCCTGAAAGTGCAATGTGGGGTTAGAAATTTTCCTAAGAGGGTCTTAGTCTGAATTGATATGTTATTTAAAGCCTCGGTCACAACCGGCCGTACGGGCTCTTACGGCCTGTTTGTGTCCACATTTTGCGCAGAATCTCACGTGCAACGCAAGTCTCTTTTGCCAAATTTGGAGTTCGCAGGATGTTGGACATGTCCAAAAGATTCTACGATTAATCTGCGAACAGCGAAGAACGAGCAAAGTTGAAAGCACCGCGCGTCGCACGTGCGTGACCCCTACGCACGGAGAATATACGAGGTATACTCAAGACGCACGGCCGTGTCTCGAAAATTGAAGCCTAGGTCCCAACCGAATGTACGAACATCCACGTTTTCCCCATTTTTTGGCCGTAGACCACACCTTTTGCACGTTTGCAAATGTTCTCCTGTTATATTGCAGGTACAACTGCAAGCCTTCTGGGGTTTTGGCCTCTTCACAAAAACACGCTCGGAGCAGACAGAAGCGGAAATGGTAATGACGGAGTTCGTTATAACGTCCGAGCGTCCAGTTTTCTGGACAGCTATCTCACGTGGTATAGCAGCAACGCTCGCCTGACCATAGCTAACGGGGGACGATACGTGATGACCGGGTCGTTTAGTATCATAAGTTAGTATCGGAGACAATCTGTTACATTTCTCAATATTGAAAAGCGTGTTTCTTTCTTGTACAACAATGTCTTTTTGATTTTAATTTGGCCTGGGTCACTTTTAAATCTGACTTGCTTTCATTCTGTCCCGCGAAATATACATGTACATCTTAACACCAGTCGTTAAAGATTATAGTTATAAGTTTGTATATACTATATCAGCCTTTTTATGGAAACTTCTATAATTGATTTCTTCAACGAATAGTTGTACTAATACTTTACTGCCTATAGTCCGGATGAAGTATATTTTATCAATTTCAGTGGGGGTCAAGCCACGACATTCGAGTTATGGCAACACTAATACTGAAGACTTTGTCATATTCCAATATGATGGTGGATTTACCCTCTCTATTGACACCAAAAAGTACGGCATTACAGCAGTGACGTCATCAGTATCCTGTCCCGTGCAATTGGCGACATCTGGTGGGTAAAATAAGCATTACTTTCAAAAGCAAAAAATGAAATGTAATTGGAGAAAAAAAAACAATATGTCGCCTTCTTGTCGTCTTTGGAAGATGTTGTTCACTTAATTTACCCAGCTGTGGTAAGCAAAGAAATCAGAAAGTATACCATCCATTTACTCCAGTTTTCAGTTTTTTCACCACAACAAATTTGTACAAGGTTGAAATTGGCACGTTTGAACAGTACAGTCCATCAAGAATATATCACAATATTATATGTATGAACTGTGGGCATACTTTGATATATTANGGAAAAGGTCCACTCTGGGTAAAATTTGACCTAGGTTCATGAAGTTTTTTTGGAAAAAGGTCCACTTTTTCAGAAAAAGAACCCCCCTTTTGAAATTGCTGGCTACGGGCCTGAAGATGTTGTTCACTTAATTTACCCAGCTGTGGTGAGCAAAGAAATCAGAAAGTATACCATCCATTTACTCCAGTTTTCAGTTTTTTCACCACAACAAATTTGTACAAGGCTGAAATTGGCCCGTTTGAACTGCACAGTCCACCAAGAATATATCACAATATTATATGTATGAACTGTGGACACACTTTGATATATAACGCAATACAATTTGACCAAGTTATGAGATGTTTGCATATTATTACACTACAGGTCGCCAAGACAGAGTGCACTATGTAGATACACATAATTTACAAGAACAATGCGAAATTTATAGCAACATATAGCAAAGAAAATTGTAGCACTGTTTTGTTCATTAACCGTAAACATCTACAAATTCATTCCAGGGAATACTGCAATTTTTTATTCGGATTCCTGGCTATTTTTGACTTACGACGAGCCTAATCAGGTGATGACTCTACGCTACGGCACCAGTACGTCTTCTTTGACCGCAGCGACATTTACTTCCATTGTGGGACCGTTTGAAATGTCCGGAGACATTATCATAGGTAATAATGTTCAAAGGCTTTGTTGACATGTGAACCAACTTGAACAAACAATATTTAACTTTTATTTAAAGGCGCATAAAACTGCCTAAGTATAATAAAAAGCAAATTGGTTGGCTTGTAAACGTCATCCAAGTGATTTTCTATGTCAGTCTAGAAAACGGGTTGTAAGAAATAAGCACGAAGTAAGTTTCTTTACGACATTATTACTCCAATCTGGTTTAGACAAATACTAAGAATGTCAGTTTGGATTCATGTGTGGCCCAAAGTTAACGGTGCACTTGCAGAACGCTCAATTAGGTTATGTGTGTGCGTTTGATTTTGTTTTGAACCAATTTGTTTGTTTGTTTGGTTGGTTGGTTCCTTGTCTGTTTGCTTGTTTCTACCTAGCCCATTAGGATGAGGTACATAAAGTCCATAATATATGCATTCACTTGTTTTAGGAAGGCGATATACAGGAGGCTGCGACCAGATTCCGTCCAATAACCGCTTCGAGGGATACGTTAGATGCGTGTATATATTTGATACATTGATTAGTACGACCGAGGCGGCCACAGCCATGGATAAATGTATTGCGCAAGACTACACAGGTGATCTCTCTCTCTTTCTCTCTCTCTCTCATGCATGGGTGCACGTTATGGCATATAAAATGTCTATGTGTGAATAATATCAATTTATTTCGACTAATACTAGTATAACAACGCCAAAATAACGTCATGAAATTTTGTGCATGCATCACTTTTTGATCAAGATGAACTAATCAGTGCAGTAAAACTATTAAATCATGTTCATGGTCAGACTCAGTAGACCAGTGTACCAGTGGACCGTGCCAAAATGGCGGGACCTGCACAGACGGGCTGTTTTCCTATTCTTGTGCCTGCGTTTATGGATTTAGCGGAACCAGCTGCGAAAATGGTAGGTAAATTGCACACACACGCACACAAACATGGACTCGGTGTTTGACCATCCTTCCAGAGCCAAAAAAACTGAATTCATCCACGAAACATGTCTTTGTCAAATAATATAAACAAATCTTTTACCTGTTAATCAAACAGACTCGTTATCCAGTGCTGATAATGCAAACTGGCTTGTGCTCTCCATGTAGAAAAATATCCAGTTTCCTGAGAATCAAATTTGTAAGTCATCGCCTACTAATTTTCATGTTTTCACTATGCCAGCGTTAACGATACCACAAGCAGCGACCACGCAGGCACCAACGACTGAAGCAACAACTACGCAGGCACCAACGACTGAAGCAACAACTACTCAGGCACCAACGACTGAAGCAATAACTACTCAGGCACCAACGACTGAAGCAGCGACTACGCAGGCACCAACCACTGAAGAAGCGACCACGAAGGCACCAACCACACAAGCAGCCACTACGCAGGCACCGACAACGGTCCAGGCCTTCACTACCAGTAACCCAAGTAAGTATTTTTGCTCAGTCTTAAGTGTAAATGGATGAACGCACAGATGGCACGGAATTTTAGGTTGTTAAATAAATTATTTGTATTTGTATTTGTATTTGTATGCTCTCATGTTAGGTTTGTATGGGCTTTGATGCTGACAGCAATATGGTACAAATCTTTTCTGATTGGTAAATACACGTACCCGAGCCACGATCAATATTTAAATTGTACATGTGTGGCCATGCTTCCTTACTGGACTTTGTTTTATTTCACAGACTTACCCACCTCAGACGGCACTGTCTGTCCGAGCGGCTGGTCATTTGGACGCCAGTACAGTTGTTATCAGTTGCTAATTGACAGCACTAACCATTACGACTACAGAAAGGGCTGTACTGACCTAGGGGGCTACCTCGCTGTGGTGAATTCCAGGGAAGAGCAAGACCATGTCATTCAAATCCTCAGGGTTCGCCATTTCTGTTTTTCTACCTCCTTCCTTCCATCCATCTGTCTCTCTTCCTCCATCCCTCCCTCACTCCCTGCCTCTCTCTCTTTCTTTTCTCTCTGCGTCTGAATGTTGTATCTCTTCATTTATGAAATATGTCACATTGCACGTTATCGCCGTATGTTTATCACGTCATTCCTTCGTTCGTAAAACGAGTTTTTTAGAACTTGTTTAGCTGTCAACAATATTGCAACTAAGACGTCATTCCTGATACCATGGGCACTCGTCACGCGCACTCATCACACACACACACACACACACACATTTAACATAGAACGTCTTGTTTTCAGTATAATGCATCAACAACCGATGTGATATCAGGGATGTTCGACCCATCCTATAGCATGGTATATACTGGAGAAGATGGCTCCTATCTCTCGTACTCTTACTGGGATGCTGGAAACCCGGACACCAGTGGGCTGAAGACACGGGTGCTGTTTAACAAAACCTCCAACTTCAGCTGGATCAATGCAGAGATCAGTGGGGGGCCTAATAGAGCTCTGTGTGAAATTAACGGCGGTATGTATGCACCTCTTTCTCGGTAATTTTAAGTAAGGTACTGTTGTCTACTGGATTGGATCCAAACTCGCAATTTTTAATTTCCACATACAAAATAAATCTATATATCTAAGTAAAATAAAATTAAAGCATATAATACAATGAAAGAAAAAATAAATTAAAATTTGATAAAATAAGACATAGAAGATTGAAGACCTTTGCTGTTGATGACTGAAACCCTTTCTGTTATCTTAGGATTTGACGGCTGTTTCAATAATCCAACAACGTACCGTGCCAAGGTATCGCATTCTCGGCTCATGAACAGTCTTCAGTGTATAGAGTACTGCCGTGGACAGGACATCCCCAAGGCCGCAGTGTCCGGGGCAGACTGCTACTGTGTAAACAGTGAACCAACTGGGAAGCAGTCCCCAAGTGATTGTGCCTTAGGTTGCCCTTACAACCCCGTCCAGCATTGTGGAGGAACCAATAAGGCCAATGTTTATTCTGTCTGTAAGTTAGGTCAGACGAAATTAATAAGTTGGTTAATTAACGAGCAGTGATTGTTTTTAAAGAGGATCGGACCGTTACAATTAAATATCACAACGAATTATGCCATAATACCGCTCTCTTTACAAACACGTTATCATACTAAATAACTTGGGTTTTCTCAGTTATTTGATATATCTATATCAATTTTCAGCGTTCTACTACTCCCGTGCTGCGTCCTGCATGCATCTGGCAGAACAAGGTGTTTTATTAGAGGGAACGTATTGGGTTCAGGAAGAGGCAGGACAAACATCTAAAAAAGTTCAATGCAATAATAAAGGTGATTAATGCACAATTAGCGTGGCATATGAACTTATTTCCACGCATTTGAAAACCTTATATCCGTGATTTGATATTTGGCCCCACATCTCTGTGATAACCACCTGGTTTAGAGGAATTGGGTTACCTCATTTACGACAACATACAATATTAGGCCCATGCCATACGCCAGTGGTCCTCTCTCACTCCAGAACTGAAAAACATCATCATGTTTATAGATTAACGTTGACCAACACAAGATAACCACCCTTTTAAGATAACCACCTGACCATGTTATATCATTAACGATAACATTGTTTAGGTCCATGCCATACGCCTCTGATGCACGTTTTCGACAACACCTTAACAATTACGACATCAACGACATCCAGCGATGCCAACTATACAGCAAGCAACGCATTGTAAGTAAAACTACGTATACTGTCTTCCAAAATATACATAGGATTTTTATTGCCATTTTTCTTTTGCTAAAATAAGCTTTACTCTTGCAAAGAAAATTAAAAACTAATACTTACAGCTATGTACCGTTAGATAAATTCAAATGATTTGTTAGTTAGTTAGACATAATTCCAAACATACCTAGGCTTGAGTTTAAACATCCTCATGACAGCACCCAAATATGACTACCCTTTCTGAACTGATTGGCTATTGATTGTGACGTCCAACAACTTTGTATATTTCAGCCTCTATGGCGTGTTTGGTGTCGGTTTTGACTCGGGAGATGCCAACCCCTGGATTGAAGTGTCGTACAGCGAACTCTTCATAGTTACCGGCATTGCGACTCAAGGTAAAATGCGTTTTTTGTCAAATATTTTCGGCTTAATTTTTGGTGGAAATAACGTTTGAAGCTTTCAAAATAATAAGGATGCTACTGTAGCACTGACACATGTACATGTATGTTGGAAATAGGTATTTTAATGCGTTCTACCTAACTTTGGATCATTTGAGCTGCGCCAGAAAATAGTCATTGAATAAAGTACATATGGTTATAATTGTATTAAAACAGGTGCCAAGGATGTCGACAATATGCAGTGGGTTGGAGGCTACACCATCGACTACAGCGAAGACGGTATGAACTGGACACATTACGACAACGGCAACCAGGTGACTATATACAAGTATATTCTTGGAGACCGTATATTATGGTCGCATTTCTAATCTACGTAAATCGATCTAACTCTGTAGGGACTCTTGCTGGATGCAATCAGACGCAATTAATTTTTGATTCCATTTAACGAGAGTCCCGCAGTAATTTTTCATTTCTTTTATAGTTGGCCGGCAACACAGATTTCAACAAAGTGGTACTTAATACCTTTAAGTACCCATTCTTGGCGCAGCATGTTCGCTTGTATCCCAACACCTCGACCTGCCACAACAACTGCAGTCTGCGCATGGAGATGTACGGGTGCAAGTACAGTTCCTTTGACCGTAAGTACTGTGTAGTTGTTTGTTTATATGTTATCGCATCAGTTTCTGCAGTAATATATTCAGAACCAGGTTGGATATTTTCATTTAATTGAATTTTACTTCCTGATTATGTGTGACTGATTTCTATCACTCACTTTCTATCATTAACTCACGAGTTCCATGTTTCTTCCAATAAATCATTTTCTTGGATAGATGGCGACTATTACGTTGGGTGTATCGTTGAGACGATGGACCCAAACCTAAGTCCTGTCATGGAACGGGTTATATCAACTAACTGTGGAACACCTGCCGCCTGTGTGGACTTATGCAGAGATAATGGGTATCTTTATGCTGGTCTGAGTGGAGGTAAGATACTAATAAATAACAGGATGTCAATGGATAATGCACATTTATTGAATATTAAACACCGAGTCGTCATGATGGCTGTTTTTACATATGTGTTGGTTTAAATAAAGAAGTAAGGAACTGAACCGCCTGAAAATATACACAAAGCTTACCAAACTCTTTTTTTTAATAACGTCGTGTCGCAGATATGCTAATGTATATATTGTTACTGCATTTAAGTACTTCTTCCCAGCTTCTTCATCGTCACCCGTATGACGGCTTAACTTTATTTTCTTGACAGACAACTGTTCCTGTTCCAATAGCGTGGACAAATACGGCCGTTCTTCGAAATCGTACTGTTACACAAGGTGCTCTGGCGATTCCAGCGCCTTTTGTGGAGGGCACTACCGGTATTCTGTATGGAGGACGTGGGGTAAGATGAAAAACTGGGGGACATACCCACCTTAAGGATGCGTTCCCAATGCAACTAACGTATGAGATAGATCGTTCGAACTCCACGGCGACTTTTGTTGAATGCAATCAGACAAACTGAACGGTACACCTCCTGGAGCAGCTAAGAGATGATAAAATTTGGTGGCATCTGGCAGCTTTTTCGGTTCGTATTGAGTGTCACTGACCGCTCACGAAAGTTAATCACCCCCAAACATGTAGCTACTCGATGAGGCGCGTCACTCAGTTAATCTGATTGCATTCACCGAGAATACCCGCGGGGTTGGAACAACCTACCTAGGGTGATAGTTACATTAGGAACGCATCCTTAAATCTTTCACGTTTTACTGGACAGGACCTCACCATCATCTTTCGCCTTGCGCCGGAATGGCCGCCATAGCAGCAACATGCTCAGAGTTGCACGTGTAGTCTTTCTTAGTATCTCATTTGTTTACAAACCATTATAATTAATGGATAACTGAATAAATAAGAGTCTCTACTCACGGTAATAGTATCCAGTGTCAACATATGGTAATGTAAAATAGGATAGATGGAAAGACTATCAAATGGTCATTATTGATGCAATTTGTGACATGGCAAAAATCTCCTGGCTATCTTCCCAGATGTACGTTGCCCCGCAGTGCCATCTGTGGGCAATGCCTTGGCCTCCACCGCAAACAGGCAGCACAATGTCAAGGTCACGTACAGCTGCCTGCCAGGCTTTCAGTGGCCAGCGGGAACTCTGGAGGAAGACAAATTCATCACCTGTCAAGTCAATAACTGGACAGCCACGCCCCCTGCTTGTGAAGGCAAGAGATTGAAAGATACATTATATCTATATACTGACGGTTCTAAACTTTTTAAATGAAAGTGGATATTCATGTCACCTTCTTCACGTCATTAAAGGTCGCTAAATGCTTATCCACGGAATTTTGGAGGTATTTGATGTAATTTTCAATCTCACCAATAATAATTTACTATATTTTGCTAGCCGTGCAGTGTTCTGGGCACCCGCAGACAGTCTTCAATGCCACCATGACGCAGTCTGGCAACAGATACCTAGATGTCGCCACATACACGTGTATAGAGAACCACGCCTTCCAGGATGGAACGACAACGAAGAAGGCGTCTTGCTTGAGTAGCGGGCAGTGGGATAACAGCGTCCCATCTGCCTGCATTCGTAAGTACATTTCAAGACAGCGCATACATTTTTTGACTTTACCATACTAAAGATTCCCTAATTCCACTAACCAGTAATCACTGTCAATCCATGTACAACCTAAGGGGTGTCTTCAAATTTATTCTTTTATTCGTTTCACCATTCAACAGGTCCCCAGTGCCCGACGGTGTCCAGCAGCCTTTCTTACACCACGGTCAACTCGAGTGACCACGGTGCGGGGGCGGCGGTGAGGTACGAGTGCTCTCAAAACGCCACCTTCAGTGACGGCAGCTCGGTGAGGACACGCCGTTGCCTCGTGTCCGGACACTGGGACAGCACGGAGGAGGCGTGTGGTAAGGGTTACCGTGAGATAACACCGCACCAGTTTGGTGGGTGGGCTAAGCTGTGTTGACATATTAATTTTATAATTAAAGTCGATAAAATTCGTCACAAACCGATTCTTCGGGCGGCCTGAGGCAGGTAAGATCATATGATCACATGGCATATCAAATCAACCCGTGCAAATAAACGGCAGTTCTGACTATAATCAGATCAGGTATATATTTTTTAAGTTGTGTTTTTAACTCAATTATTAACTATAAAATATCATAACGACGTTTATAAATCATATGAGGTATTCATTCAATCTCACCATCATCAAATTACTTAACAAGATCGTGGGCCACGAACAACAAAAAAGGTAGGTAAATTTTCTAAATCCATAGAACTCAATCTCTTTGTTTAAAGTTTACATTTTACTTTACTGTCTTTTTTCTTTTTCTTTATTCATGTCTTTTACGCTTTAGAGGTTTTTCTTCCTGCTTTTTTATGTGTGGATGTTTATATAGCTACACTTACTCGCTACAAATCGGTGAGATGGGATGAAAGGAAGAGGTGTGTGTGTGAGAGAGAGAGAGAGAGAGAGAGAGAGAGAGAGAGAGAGAGAGAATTGACTTGGATTGTGGGTGTTGTGCATCAGAAAAACGTGGTTGTTTGATTGATGTGCCTAACTTGAAAGAAACTGAAAGTTGGTGTAATAGTTGTTGATAATAACCATCGACTTCAAGCCAGGAAAGATCCGTAGCAGCCCAATACATATAGAAGTAGCAATTTTCGGTCAAAAAATTACAAATCCAGGAAAGGGGGCACACCAAGAAATTCGGAGGTGACTTATTCGGGCTCAAGGCGTCATGATCCTACAATCTAACGTTTTCTGTAAACATATGCGATTGCTGGAGCCCACAAAAAAATCCAATTTTAGAAGCACGATATATTTTCATTATATCCTATATCTGTGTGTGTGTTGATTGAGCTGATTCCACTGATTGCGAAAATCCTCCACAGATTGGACCGAAATGGACCGAAATGTGAATCAGAAAGCGGCTTAAGGATACATTCACAATCTATCGTACTAGCTAAATGTACCACACACTAGCTCCACGGGGACTCTGAAGTTTCATTATTTGCGACAACTGAAGCTTTTAGCATTACTTACTGATTGGTTTGCTTCTAGATCATGACAGTAAAGTCGCACACAGGTTATACTCAGCACTAAAAAACAGATTTATTTCATTTGATGATAGTTTTAAGATGTGCTATTTTTAGCAAAAAGAAAGACGAGCTTAACACAAGTGGACCAAAGAATAATGCAACTTTTTCCACAGGCTTTTACAAGTCATCGTTCAATATATAATGACATGTTTTTGTCTTCTGTTCGAGAAGTTTTTTTGTTGTAATTGACAACATTAGTCGAGTTATTGATACTTTTATATCTAAAGTATTATTATTATTATTATTATTATTATTATTATGTGGATTTAAACAAATGTTTTATCATTAGACAAATAAAAGATGTTCCATATTAAATGCATTAAGGGCCGGGGCTGTGTAGACAAAGTCCTCTGAATGACCAAAAAAGTGAAACTAATATCCCGTATTTTGGGGAAAAATCCACTTTATTTAGAATAAAACTGTTGGATGGTAATAACCACGAACGTATTTTGATAGTAATATAAATATATGATACAAATGGTNACTGAAGCAGCAACTACGCAGGCACCAACGACTGAAGCAACGACTACAGAGGCACCAACGACTGAAGCAACAACTACGCAGGCACCAACCACTGAAGCAGCGACTACGCAGGCCCCAACCACTGAAGAAGCGACCACGCAGGCACCAACCACCCAAGCAGCCACTACGCAGGCACCGACAACGGTCCAGGCCTCCACTACCAGTAGCCCTAGTAAGTATTTTTGCTCAGTCTTATATGTAAATGGATGAACGCACAGATGACACGGAATTTTAGGTTGTTAAATAAATTATTTGTATTGGTATTTGTATGCTCCCATGTTAGGTTTGTACGGGTTTTGATGCTGACAATAATATGGTACAAATCTTTTCTGATTGGTAAATACGCGTACACGAGCCACGATCAATATTTAAATTGTACATGTGTGTGCACGTTTCCTTACTGGAGAACGTTTGTTTTATTTCACAGACTTACCCACTTCAGACGGCACTGTCTGTCCAAGCGGCTGGTCATTTGGACGCCAGTACAGTTGTTATCAGTTGCTATTTGACCGTAGTGACCATTACGACTACAGAAAGGGCTGTACTGATCTAGGGGGCTACCTCGCTGTGGTGAATTCCAGGGAAGAGCAAGATCATGTCATTCAAATCCTCAGGGTTCGCCATTTCTGTTTTTCTACCTCCTTCCATCCATCTCTCTCTCTTCCTCCATCCCTCCCTCACTCCCTGCCTCTCTCTCTTTCTTTTCTCTCTGCGTCTGAATGTTGTATTTCTTCATTTATGAAATATGTCACATTGCACGTTATCGCCGTATGCTTATTACGTCATCCCTTCGTTCGGAAAACGAGGTTTTTAAGAACTTGTTTAGCTGTCAACAATAATGCAACTAAAACGTCATTCCTGATACTACGCACACTCATCACACACACACACACACACACACACACATTTAACATAGAACGTCTTGTTTTCAGTATAATGCATCAGCAACCGATGTGATATCAGGGATGTTCGACCCATTCTATAGTCTAATATATACCGGAGAAGATGGCTCTTATCTGTCGTACTCTTACTGGGATGACGGAAACCCGGACACCAGTGGGCTGAAGACACGGGTGCTGTTTAACAAGACCTCCAACTTCAGCTGGATCAATGCAGAGATGAGTGGGGGGCCTAATATAGCTCTGTGTGAAATAAACGGAGGTATGTATGCACCTCTTACTCGGTACTTTTAAGTAAGGTACTGTTGTCTACTGGATTGGATCCAAACTCACAATTTTTAATTTCCACATACAAAATAAATCTATATATCTAAGTTAAATAAAATTAAAGCATATAATAAAATGAAAGAAAAAATAAATTAAAATTTGATAAAATAAGACATAGAAGATTGAAGACCTTTGCTGTTGATGACTGAAACCCAATCTGTTATCTTAGGATTTGACGGCTGTTTCAATAATCCAACAACGTACCATGTCAAGGTATCGCACTCTCGGCTCATGAACAGTCTTCAGTGTATAGAGTACTGCCGTGGACAGGACATCCCCAAGGCTGCAGTGTCCGGTGCAGACTGCTACTGTGTAAACAGTGAACCGGCTGGGAAGCAGTCCCCAAGTGATTGTGCTTTAGGTTGCCCTTACAACCCCGTCCAGCATTGTGGAGGAACCAATAAGGCCAATGTTTATTCTGTCTGTAAGTTAGCTCAGACAAAATTGATAAGCTGGATAATTTACGAGCAGCGATTCTTTTTAAAGAGGATCGGGCCGTTACAATTAAATATCACAATTGATCATGCCATAATACTGCTCTGTTTACAAACACATTATCTACAAATAGAGAACTTCGGTTTGCTCACATATTTGATATATCTATATCAATTTTCAGCGTTCTACTACTCCCGTGCTGCGTCCTGCATGCATCTGGCAGAACAAGGTGTTTTAATAGAGGGAACGTATTGGGTTCAGGAAGAGGCAGGACAAACATCTAAAAAAGTTCAATGCAATAATAAAGGTGATTAATGCACAATTAGCGTGGCATATGAACTTATTTCCACGCATTTGAAAACCTTCTATCCGTGATTTGATATTTGGCCCCACATCTCTGTGATAACCACCTGGTTTAGAGGAATTGGGTTACCTCATTTACGACAACATACAATATTAGGCCCATGCCATACGCCAGTGGTACTCTCTCACTACAGAACTGAAAAACATCATCATCTTTAACATTGACCAACACAAGATAACCACCCTTTTAAGATAACCACCTGACCATGTTATATCATAAACGATAACATTTCTTAGGTCCATGCCATACGCCTCTGATGCACGTTTACGACAACACCTTAACAATTACGACATCAACGACATCCAGCGATGCCAACTATACAGCAAGCAACGCATTGTAAGTAAAACTACGTATACTGTCTTCCAAAATATACATAGGATTTTTATTGCCATTTTTCCTTTGCTTAAATAAGCTTTACTCTTGCAAAGAAAATTAAAAACTAATACGTACACCTATGTACCGTTAGATAAATTCAAATGATTTGTTAGTTAGTTAGACATTATTCCAAACATACTCAGGCTTGAGTTTAAACATCCTCATGGCAGCACCCAAATATGACCACCCTTTCTGAACTGATTGGCTATTGATTGTGACGTCCAACAACTTTGGATATTTCAGCCTCTATGGTGTGTTTGGTGTCGGTTTTGACACGGGAGATTCCAACCCCTGGATCCAAGTGTCGTTCAGCGAACTCTTCATATTTACCGGCATCGCGACTCAAGGTAAAGCGCTTTTTTATCAAATATTTCCGGCTTAATTTTGGTGGAAATAACGTTTGAAGCTGTCAAAATAATAAGGATGCTACTGTAGCACTGACACATGTACATGTATGTTGGAAAAAGGTATTTTAATGCGATCTACTTAACTTTGGAACATTTGAGCTGCGCCAGAAAATAGTCATCGAATAAGGTACATATGGTGATAATTGTATTGAAACAGGTGCCAAGGATGTGGACAATATGCAGTGGGTTGGAGGCTACACCATCGACTACAGTGAAGACGGTATGAACTGGACACATTACGACAACGGCAACCAGGTGACTATATAAAAGTACAAGTATATATATATATGTGTGATAAAAAAAAATATATATATATATATATATATATATATATATATATATATATATATATATATATAGGTTTCTTGGAGGCCGTGTATTATGGTCGCGTTTCTAATCTACGTAGATCGATCTAACCCTGTAGGGACTTTTGCTGAATGCAATCAGACGCAATCAAATTTTGATTTCATTTAACAAGAGTCCGGGAGTAATTTTTATGTCTTTTATAGTTGGCCGGCAACACGAATTTCAACAAAGTGGTACTGAATACCTTTAAAGACCCGTTCCTGGCGCAGCATGTTCGCTTGTATCCTAACAGCTCGACCTGCCACAACAACTGCAGTCTGCGCATGGAGATGTACGGCTGCAAGTACAGTTCCTTTGACCGTAAGTACTGTGCAGTTGTTTATTTATATATGTTATCGCATCAGTTTCTGCAGTAATATATCAAGAACCAGGTTGGATTTTTTCATTTAATTGAATTCTACTTCATTATCATGTGTGACTGATTTCTATCATAAACTCACGCGTTCCATGTTTCTGCCAATAAATCATTTCTTGGATAGATGGCGACTATTACGTTGGGTGTATCGTTGAGACGATGGACCCAAACCTAAGTCCTGTCATGGAACGGGTTATATCAACTAACTGTGGAACACCTGCCGCCTGTGTGGACTTATGCAGAGATAATGGGTATCTTTATGCTGGTCTGAGTGGAGGTAAGATACTAACAAATTACAATAAGTCAATCAGAAATGCACATTTGTTGAATAATAAACACTGAGTCGTTATGATGGCTGTCTTTACATATGTGTTGGTTTGAATAAAGAAGTAAGAAACTGAACAACCTGAAAATATACACAAAGCTTACCAAACTCATTTTTTTAATAACGTCGTGTCGCAGATATGCTAATGTATATATTGTCACTGCATTTAAGTGCTTCTTCCCAGCTTCTTCATCGTCACCCGTATGACGGCTTAACCTTATTTTCTTGACAGACAACTGTTCCTGTTCCAATAGCGTGGACAAATACGGCCGTTCTTCGAAATCGTACTGTTACACAAGGTGCTCTGGCGATTCGATCGCCTTTTGTGGAGGACACTACCGTTATTCTGTATGGAGGACGTGGGGTAAGTTGAAAGACTGGGGGACATACCCACCTTAAGGATGCGTTCCCAATGCAACTAACGTACCAGATAGATCGTTCGAACACCACTGCGACTTTTGTTGAATGCAATCAGACAAACTGAACGGTACACCTCCTGGAGCAGCTAAGAGATGATAAACTTTGGTGGCATCTGGCAGCTTTTTCAGTTCGTATTGAGTGCCACTGACCGCTCACAAAAGTTAATCATGGGGCGCGTCACTCAGTTAATCTGATTGCATTCACCGAGAATACCCGCGGGGTTGGAACAATCTACCTAGGGTGATAGTTATATTAGGAACGCATCCTTAAATCTTTCTTGTCGAATTTGCAAAATGTTGCTGTGGAAATGGACAGAAATTGTTATTGGGAGCGAGATCCCAACACGTTGTACTGGACAGGACCTCACCATCATTTTTCGCCTTGCGCCGGAATGGCCGCCATAGTAGCTACATGCTCAGACCAGAGTTGCTTCTGTAGTTTTTCCTGGTATCTCATTTGTTAACAAACCATTATAATTAATGATGATAACTGAATAAATAAGACAGTCACTACTCATGGGAATAGTATCATATTGTAAAGCTAATAAGGATAGATGAATAAACTATCAAATGGTCATTATTGATGTAATTTTTGACATGCCAAAATCTCCTGGTTATTTTCCCAGACGTACGTTGCCCCGCAGTGCCATCTGTGGGCAACGCCTTGGCCTCCACCGCAAACAGGCAGCACAATGTCAAGGTCACATACAGCTGCCTGCCAGGCTTTCAGTGGCCAGCGGGAACTCTGGAGGAACACAAATTCATCACCTGTCAAGTCAATAACTGGACAGCCACGCCCCCTGCTTGTGAAGGTAAGAGGTTGAAAGATACATTGTAACTATACTCACAGTTCTAAACTTTTTTAAAAAATGAAGATGGATATTCAACTCGAGTTGATTATGTCATTAAAGGTCCCTAAATGCTTATCCACAGAATTTTGGAGGTATTTGATGTTATGTGCAGGTGTTTAAGCATAATAATTTACCATTTTCTGCTAGCCGTGCAGTGTGCTGGGAACCTGCAGACAGTTTCCAACGCAACCGTGACGCAGTCTGGCAACAGATACCTAGATATCGCCACATACACGTGTATAGAGAACCACGCCTTCCAGGATGGAACGACAACGAAGAAGGCGTCTTGCTTGAGTAGCGGGCAGTGGGATAACAACGTCCCATCTGCCTGCATCCGTAAGTGCATTTAAAGGGCATTATTTTAAAACTTTTAAAACCATTCTAAAGATTTCTTAGTGTTATTAACCAGTAATTACTGTCCATGCATTTATAACCTACGGGTATCATCAGCGTATCTACACGCATATGTAATATTTGATGAAGAAAATCCTTTCCTTTAATCGTTTTCACCATTAAACAGGTCCCCAGTGCCCGGCGGTGTCCAGTAGCCTTTCTCACACCACGGTCAACTCGAGTGACCACGGGGCGGGAGCGGCGGTGAGGTACGAGTGCTCTCCAAACGCCGCCTTCAGTGACGGGAGCTCGGAGAGGACACGTCGTTGCCTCGTGTCCGGACACTGGGACAGTACGGAGGAGGCGTGTGGTAAGGGTCACTGTGAGATAACACCGCACCAGTTTGGTGGGTGGGTTAAGGTGTGTTTACATATTAATAGTATAATTAAAGTCGACAATATTCGTCACAAACCAATTCTACGGGCGGCCTGAGGCAGGTAAGATCATATGATCACATGGTATATCAAATCCGACCGTGCAAATAAACGGTTGTTCTGACTATAATCAGATCAGGTATATATTTTATAAAGTGCATATTTTACTCAATTATTAACTAAAATATAATAACGATGTTTATAATAAATCATATGAGGTATTCATTCAATCTCACCATCATCAAATTATTTAACAAGATCGTTGGCCACGAACGACAGAAAAGGTAGGTAAATTTTCTAAATCCATAGAACTCAATCTCTTTGTTTAAAGTTTACATTTTACTTTACTGATTTTTTCTTTTTCGTTATTCATGTCTTTTACGCTTTAAAGGTTTTTCTTCCTGCTTTTTTATGTGTGGATGTTTATATTGCTACACTTACTCGCTACAAATCGGTGAGATGGGATGAAAGGAAGAGGTGTGTGTGTGTGTGTGTCTGTGTGAGAGAGTGGGAGAGAGAGAAAGAGAATTAACTTGGATTGTGCGGTGTTGTGCATCAGAAAAACGTGGTTGTTTGATAGATGTGCCTAACTTGAAAGAAACTGAAAGTTGATGTAATAGTTGTTGATAATAACCATCGACTTCAAGCCAGGAAAGATCCGTAGCAGCTCAAGCATGTAGAAGTAGCAATTTTCGGTGAAAAAAATAACAAATCCAGGAAAGGGGGCACACCAAGAAATTCGGAGGTGACTTATACGGGCTCGAAGCGACATTATCTTGCAGCCTCACGTTTTCTGTAAACATATGCGATAGTTGGAGCCCACAAAAAAAAAAAGAAAAAAAAAACACATAACACTTTTTAGAAGCACGATATATTTTCATTATATCCTATATCTGTGTGCTGACTGAACTGATTCCACTGATTGCCAGAATCCTCCGCAGAGTTGGACCGGCCCAGCTTGTACGATGTGTGAATCAGACTGCGGCCTAAGGGTGCGTTCACAATCTGTCTACATGTACTTCGCACTAACTCAACGGGGACTCTGAAGTTTCATTATTTGCGACAACTTAAATGGAAGCTTTTAGCATTACTTACTGATTGTTTTGCTGCTAGATCATGGCTATACTCAACACTAAAACAGATTTATGTCATTTGATGATAATTTTTAGATGTGCTATTTTTAGAAAAAAGCTTAACGCAAGCGGACCAAAGAATAATGCAACTTTTTCGACAGGTTTTCACAAGTCATTGTTCAATATATAATGACATGTTTTTGTCTTCTGTTCGAGAATAAAGTTTTTTTTTTTTTTTTTTTTTTTTTTTTTTTTTTGTAATTGACAACATTAGTCGAGTTATTGATACTTTGATATTAAAATTATTATTATTATTATGTGTATTAAAACAAATGTTTTATCATTAGACAAATAAAAGATGTTCCATATTAAATGCATTAAGGACCAGGGCTGTGTCGACAAAGTCCTCTGAATGACCAAAAAATGAAACTAATATCCCGGATTTTGGGGAAAAATCCACTTTATTTAAAATAAAACTGTTGGATGGTAATAACCACGAACGTATTTTGATAGTAATATAAATATATGATACAAATGGCCTGTCTGCACATCACATTTGAGCACTTGCACTTATTGCCATATCCAGGAGTACACTACAAACACGTTCTCCGTAGGCTGAGCCAGTCTTTGAAAAAAGAAGAAAAACCTCCCAGTCTCTCAAACAGTACATAGATCTATATAAATAAAAGGCAATAAATAGATAAACAAACGAAATTATGTTTTAATCGATAAACGATAATGAATATAGACTTGACTTATGCAGACTATATGATAATGGCAAACCGATCACTAATTCTGAATTTATAATAATTTATGCAAAAGGTAACTTGCCCGGACCCACGATAGCCTGTATTCGTTTACAGTTGCGGGGTCAGCTGTTTGTTGACGTTGTTATAAGCTCTCAAGCATCAAATGGGATTCGATCTCATTACTAGCCGTTACCATGGTTTGCTAGTGGCTTGTTGTTTTGTTATAGTCAAGCACGCTACCGACTGCTCCGTGACTGAACCGCCCAACCTCCGTATGTACGATTTTCGTCTTATAGCAATCAAATGCAATTTTAAGAAATTATTTCCAGCAAAAAAATCATATAGACTATCTTAGGATCCGAACCCGCGTACAAGTGACTACCTGTTCAAGACGGCGATGTTACCATGCAGCCACAGAAGCTTCGTTGGTATGATCGGGCTCAAATGGAATGTTTCTAATTTCTCACAGTTCGGCTGTACATGTATATATCTGCCATAACAATTGATAGGCGTGAGCCGTGCATATGTATTTTACCCGCGAAACGCCAGTCTGCGAACATGGTATTAAAGGGACAATAACTCTTCGTTTCGGCCAAAAAAGAATTTTCCTGGAGTAAACAACAATTTTCCCATACTTACCAATGGTTAATGAATCCATTTCTACATTCAAAGTTAGTCCCTGGTTTTTTTCTAAAAAGTTTGGTTTTTTGTTAAAATCTCTTAAGAGTTATAACAGAGTATAGCTATCAATGGAGGTCACGTGGTCTAAAGACAAGCTTAGATATCAGAATAATAGCTATAACTGCCGTTTTTGTGGTAAAACAGAATATATTATATTTCTGTGAGTTATTCACAATGTTTTTATTGAGAAATATAGATCTCATACGAAGAGTTATTATCCCTTTAACATCAACGTTGTTAAAGTTCTTCATCAGGCCCGTAGCCAGGGGGGTTCGGGGGGGGGGGGGTTCGAAAGAACCGCCCCTTTTGCTGGGAAAAGGTCCTCTCTGGGTAAAATTTGATCTAGAAACATGAAGTTTTCATGGGAAAAGGTCCACTTTTTCAGAAAAAGAACCCCCCTTTTGAAATTGCTGGCTACAGGCCTGTTCATGTACACGAGAAGCGTACACAGAGCGTTCCTAGATAGATTACTTGTTTTTACTAGGACTTACTAGGACTTACTAGGACTTTATGTTGAGATTTACTTTGGCTTCACCTGTGACGTTTGAGAGCTCAATGGGACGGTTTTAGTTCAAGCTACCCCATTTAGAGGGAATCATTTAAAAAACTTCAAATATGTATAACCTTGTGCGCTTTCCGTTCACGTAATTGCAACGGAGCCAACTTTGAGAAAAAAATATATTTATCAAATGATTCCGCCGGGAAGATCCCATTTTTTCTACTGAACGCAGCTTACAGGTGGAATGAAGTGGTGCTATAACGGGAAAGCTACTGAATCAATTCAAGTTACGGCGCTTTTTATAAGCCTGCCCGGAACGTTCCTACTTTTATTTTCTTTTCCACTGGGTTTACGTTTGACTTCACCTGTGACGTTATAGAGCACGATGAGAGCCAACGCGCTTCACTAATTGGTGGTTTTAGTTGTGAGTAGTCTTTGCCATTTTAAATGTCGACGGTGGAGTTGCCCTCGGTACTGTATGACAATTTGAACAGTCTTGATAAGCAGGGGCCTAAGAGGGAGGGGGGGGCATTGAAAAAGCAACAACTACAAGGGATATGAAATTTCATAAAAATGATTGGAATTAATTCTTGACATGGATTTTTTTCACTTGTACTAGTGACAATACCTTTTAAACATTTTTATTTATTTTTTTGCAGCCTATAAACTTAATGCGGCAAGTAAGCAACATATATGTCACTGAGTGTCAGAGTCATCCGCTTATTTATTTAATCAAATTATTGTTGTTTGCTTTAGATAATTAAGATTTCAATAATTAAGATACAAATAAAACATAAATATTTTAGAACTATTATTTTTGCAAGCATGAAAGTAAGCACTTCTCAAGCACAAACAACCGTTTGAATTTACATAAAAATTTGGGACTTGGGTCTTCATATGGACATCTTTTTCGTTGTAGTAATATTATCTTAGAAATCTTTATTAGAATGACAAATAAAAGTATTCTTTCCTGCGGATATTGTTGATATCAGTTAGAACGTAAACAAATAAAACATGAGCATTTTTGTAGCCATTTTGATTGTCACAGTCATCCAAATTACTTATTAAATTTTTATTTACTTTATTTATTTATTTTTTAATCAATTATTAAATTAAAAGTTTTGGATTTCTTCAATTCTTGGTCTTTTGTACTGTGCACACAATGGAGGGGGGGGATTCCCTAGTGCTGCGGCATCAATGGTGTCCTACTTAAGACGACATCAGGGAACTGAGCAGTTGGTGAACACGTCCTGAAAGAATTATGCATTTGCAGGTATTAATTACCACCATGGACATGCTTTTCAACGAACAAACAGTCAATACTGATCAATTTCACAGTGATTAGATAATGTAATATGACTGGTACCGGTAGCACTCAATAAAAATATGAAGCAGTTGATGAACTGATATTTATTTACAGATACTAGTACGTACCTACTGCTAATATGCAAAACACAGGCATATCTTGGACAGTGTAGTTGTCCTTTTTGAATTTAGCTGGTCTCCATCCTTGGTAAAGTCCGGATCTCTTTGTCCATTCCAATTATGTTGCATTCTGCTAAAAGCAACCTGAATAAAAACGTTTTAATTAACTGTATGACAAATATGCTGAATTACAAAAATCAAGAGTAATACATTTGTGTGCTAGCATTCACTGTTATAGCTTTATCATATTAATTTTAGGTATAGAGTACTGTTTAATACAGCTACAAACCTGCTGTGCACTCCATATGAAAACCTGTACATTGTAGGTGTAAAATGGTTTACAACTGAATGGAAGTCTTCCAAACAGGAAGTTTTTTCTCCTAGGCTGATTTTCTTTTATATCTGTAACCACTCTTCACAACAAAGTACAAATGCTCTCATAAGCAGCAGTCCTTAAAAAGGCATTTATATATTCAAATATCAACAAAATTATATCAATCTAGTCATGAACACTGTAAAAATGTTTTCGATGTCAGTTTCTTTTTAACATATCTTACGACAATAGCTAGTTACAAATTGGATATTTTTTCACATGGTTTTCTAGAAAAGATATATTACTGAAATAATCTAATAATGATAAAACATTTTAATTAAAATGAGTTGCATTATTGAAAAACATGATTTTACATTAAAAATCTATCAAATGCTCCTTAAACTATATATCATTTATATATCAAGAACTCACCAAAGGTATATAACAAATCTGTACATTCCATATGATCTTCTCCAGATCCTTTCTATTGAACATCAGTCATATAGCTTGTATGGTTTCTTTGCTCTGAACCTGGGAAATGGACAGCTCCATTTCATTCTATTGCAACATTTGAAAATATAAAAAATAAGAATACGATATTTTAAGTAAAATGTTTATCTGTTCAAATGTTTCAAATTAAGAGACAATATCATTATTAGCACTGCCATGGGCAAGTTATAAATGTTAGGGGACGGGGACTGTTTACAGGCTCGCTCAAACCGTAGTGTGTACATGTAAAGCGTATAATTATTTTGCTACTCGTCATGTCTCTTATTTCTTAACAATATATGTACTGATATGAACGGCTGTTTTACTTACCCTTGAAAGCTCCCTTTTCCTGTATGCAGATGTCTTCAGTTTATCATCAGTTTATCATCGGGTCTTGCAGTAGCAGTAGCACTCGCAGTTTCACCCAACTCTGCTTGGGCAACTGATACTTCCTCTTCGAGGAAGTTCAAGGAGTTTGACTTTCAATGGGACTTAATACTCAGCAAATTGGGAAATATTCCCCCAAATTTCTGCCTGTAAGATCATGTTACCCAGAAACCCGAACAGGTTACATTTCCTGTTGTTTTCTTTTAAGCTGGATCCAGCTATGAAACGACCACATTTTCTGACGCACAACACTGCTCAATCAAAGTAAATGCTCTCTTTCTCCCTCTCCTCCTCTCTATCTCTTCCTCTCCCTCTATGTCTCTTCACATCTCCCTCTCTCTCTGTCTCTCTCATCCCAAATACAACGAAACACCGGAAAGCAGTAAGAACAACTTAAACCGTAAAATAAGACAAAGAATAATGAAAGAATAAAAATGACAGAATTTTCAGGCAAATAGTTTAGCTCTATGGATTTGGAAAATTTACCTACCTTTTTTGTCGTAGCCATCAGCCTTGTTAAGTTATTTAATGATGAGGAACTGAATTCCTCAAATGATTCATTATAATCATCGTGTTGATAAGTTAAATTTAATTACACACCTTAGCCCACCCACCATACTGGTGCGGTGTCAACTCACAGTGACCCTTACCACACGCCTCCTCCGTACTGTCCCAGTGTCCGGACACGAGGCAACGACGTGTCCTCTCCGAGCTCCCATCACTGAATGTGGAATTTGGAGAGCACTCGTACCTCACCGCCGCCCCCGCCTCGTGGTCACTCGAGTTGGCCGTGGTGTAAGAAAGGCTGCTGGACACCGCCGGGCACTGGGGGCCTGTTGAAAGGTGAAAACGATTAAAGGATGGAATTACCTTCTTAAATACTACATACAGGTATATCTTGGAATTAGGATATACTGAAGGTACCCCGTAGATAGGTTGTACATGTATGGACAGTAATTACTGGTTAATACAATTAACAGATTTTTAATGATAAAGTCTAATAATGCACGCGCTGTCTTTAAATGCACTTACGAATGCAGGCAGATGGGACGCTGTTATCCCACTGCCCGTTACTCAAGCAAGACGCCTGCTTCGTTGTCGTTCCATCCTGGAAGGCGTGGTTCTCTATACACGTGTATGTGGCGACATCTAGGTAGCTGTTGCCAGACTGCGTCAAGGTGGCGTTGGAGACAGTCTGCGGGTTCCCAGTACACTGTGCGACTAGCAGATAATGATAAATTATTTCACTAAAATAGCTGTTCACAATTGAAAAAAACAAATATCTGCAAAATCCTGTGAATAAACATTAAGCAACTTTAATGACGTAATGAAAGCGTGTTAAATATCCATCTTCATTTTTTTTATGTTTAGAACCGTGAGTATAGATACAATGTATGTTTCAATCCTTCACCTTCACAAGCAGGGGGTGTGGCTGTCCAGTTATTGACTTGACAGGTGATTGATTTGTGTTCCTCCAGAGTTCCCGATGGCCAGTGAAAGCCTGGCAGGCAACTGTACGTGACCTTGACATTGTGCTCCCTGTTTGAGGTGGAGGCCGAGGCATTGCCCACTAATGGCACTGCGGGGCAACGTACATCTGAAAAATACCAAGGAGATTTTGGCTTCTCAAAAATGACATCAATAATGATCATTTGATAGTCTTAAGTCTTATCTTTATTAGGTTTACCATTTCTTAACACCCGATAGGCTTCTATTTCCATGTTAACACCCGATACTATTTCCTGTCTTATTTATTCAGCTACCATTATGAATGGTACTAATCTGTTACCAAATGATGAACTACTAGGAAATACTACAGAAGCACCTGCGGGATGACCTGCTGGAACGACCGAAGGACGGTGTTCTGGCCCTATCCAGTAAAAATGGTGGAATCACCTCAATCATTATTTATATCCATTTCTTTAGCAACGATTTTACTTACTTTTAAGAAAAACTTACTAAGGGATTGAACTCCCAAGACGGAAACTACGTTGAGTTCATTGATATGGCACCTAGTTTATCATCTTACCCCACGTCCTCCATACAGAATAACGGTAGTGCCCTCCACAAAAGGCGCTGGAATCGCCAGAGCACGTTATGTGACAGTACGAGTGCGAAGAACGACCGTATTTGTCCACGCTGTTGGAACAGGAGCAGTTGTCTGTCAAGAAAATAAGGTCAAGCCGTCAGGTGACGATGAAGCTTGTTAAATGCAGTAACATTTTCGCTAGCACGTCATACCATACCATATCACATCTACATTACTAATTGGTTTCTATACCTGTATGGGGTTTCTGTGCACTTTAGAGTGAATCATTAAAAATGCTTTGGAATAGAAACTAATATCGGTCCTTGACGCACGAACCGTAGTCTGTATTTTTATTTTTTCAATTCCTCTTTGCTTTATTTATATATTTCTAAACTACCACCACTGAAGAGAGCAACAAGCCACATTTCATTTGCTTATTCTTTTTTTCAAGCGCGCAAATTCGTTAAAAAAAGTGTTTTGTAAGGCATCGAAAGCTACGTGTATCATCCCACACTGTCCAGTTCTTAGCCTCTTTATTTAAACCAACATGCATGAACACGACCCGGTGTTTATTATTCAATAAATGTACATTTCCCATTGACTTATTGTAATTTATTAGTATCTTACCTCCACTCAGACCAGCATAAAGATACCCATTGTCTCTGCATAAGTCGACACAGGCGGCAGGTGTTCCACAGTTTGTTGATATAACCCGTTCCATGACAGGACTTAGGTTTGGGTCCATCGTCTCAACGATACACCCAACGTAATAGTCGCCATCTATGGAAAAAATGATTTATTGGCAGAAACATGGAAGTTGTGGGTTTATGATAGAAAGTGAGTTTATGATAGAAATCAGTAACACATACATGTAATAATGAAGCAAAACTCGATTAAAAGAAAAAATACAAACTGCATGGTTCTTCATATACATGTATTACTGTAGAAACTGAAGCGATAACATATAAGCAAACAACTACACAGTACTTACGGTCAAAGGAACTGTACTTGCACCCATACATCTCCATGCGTAGACTGCAGTTGTTGTGGCAGGTCGAGGTGTTGGGATACAAGCGAACATGCTGAGCCAAGAAAGGGTACTTAAAGGTATTAAGTACCACTTTGTTGAAATCTGTGTTGCCGGCCAACTATAAAAGAAATAAAAAAAAATACTGCGTGACTCTCATTAAATGGAATCAAAATTAAATTGCATCTGATTGCATTCAGCAAGAGTCCCTACAGAGTTAGATCAATCTACGTTGACCGTTAGTTTGATTGGAAACGCGACCTAATACACGGTCTCCACGAAACCTATATATATATAAACTTGTACTTGTATATAGTCACCTGGTTGCCGTTGTCGTAATGTGTCCAGTTCATACCGTCTTCACTGTAGCCGATGGAGTAGCCTCCAACCCACTGCATATTGTCGACATCTTTGGCACCTGTTTCAATACAATGACCACCATATGTACCTTATTCAATGACTATTTTCTGGCGCAGCTCAAATGTCCCGAAGTAAAGAAGAATCTAATAATACATGTGCATGTATTACAACAAGCCAGGATTCAGGCATAAAAGTGACAGGACTGAGGTAGCATCTTTCTTATTTTGACAGCTTGAAACTTTATTTAGACTTAAAACTATGTCGGAAATATTTGATAACATTTGCATTTTACCTTGAGTCGCGATGCCTGTAAATATGAAGAGTTCGCTGAACGACACTTGGATCCAGGGGTTGGTATCTCCCGTGTCAAAACCGACACCAAACACACCATAGAGGCTGGAATATCCAAAGTACTGTGACGTCACAATCAATAGCCAATCAGTTCAGAAAGGGTAGTCATATTTGGGTGCTGCCATGAGGATGTTTAAACTCAAGCCTAAGTATGTTCGGAATAATGTCTAACTAACTAACAAATCATTTGAATTTATCTAACGGTACATAGGTGTACGTATTAGTTTTTAATTTTCTTTGCAAGAGTAAAGCTTATTTAAGCAAAAGGGAAATGGCAATAAAAACCCTATGTATATTTTGAAAGACAATATATGTAGTTTTACTTACAATGCGTTGCTTGCTGTATAGTTGGCATCGCTGGATGTCGTTGATGTCGTAATTGTTAAGGTGTTGTCGTAAAAGTGCATCAGAGGCGTATGGCATGGACCTAAACAATGTTATCGTCAATGATGTAACATGGTCAGGTGGTTATCTTAAAATGTGGTTATTTTAAAGACAATATGTGGATCAATGTTTAATTCAAGAATAATATCATAATCATTAATCTATTAAATTAAATGGTAGAAAGTCTTATCCAATGATGTATTTTTAAGTGCTGGGCTAATAATGTATAATGTTGTAAATGAGGTGCGACAATTCCTCTAAACCCGATGGTTATCGCAAAGATGTGGGGCCAAATATCAGATTCACGAATATAAGGTTTTTCACATGCATGGAAATAAGTTCATAAGTTTTGCTAATTGTGAAGTAATTACCTTTATTATTGCATTGAACTTTTTTAGATGTTTGTCCTGCCTCTTCCTGAACCCAATACGTTCCCTCTGTTAAAACACCTTGTTCAGCAAGATGCATGCAGGACGCAGCACGGGAGTAGTAGAACGCTGAAAATTGATGTATATATATCAAATAACTGAGAAAACTGAAGTTTCTTAAGTTGTAGATAATGTGTTTGTAACCATAGCCGTATTATGGCATAATTCGTTGTAATATTTAATTGTTTACAGAGACTTGCTGCTCGTTAATTAATCAGCTTATCAATTTCGTCTGAGCTTACTTACAGACAGAATAAACATTGGCCTTATTGGTTCCTCCACAATGCTGGACGGGGTTGTAAGGGCAACCTAAGGCACAATCACTTGGGGACTGCTTCCCAGTTGGTTGACTGACCACACAGTAGCAGTCTGCACCGGACACTGCAGCCTTGGGGATGTCCTGACCACGGCAGTACTCTATACACTGAAGGCTGTTCATGAGCCGAGCATGCGATACTTTGACTCGGTAGGTTGTTGGATTATTGAAACAGCCGTCAAATCCTAGAAAAACAGACAAGGTTGCAGTCATTAATTTCAAAGGGTTCCATTCTTATTTTTATCTAATTAAATTTATATTTTTTTCAATTTGTTTTATTATTTTATTTTATTTTACTTAAATCTATCTATTTATTTTGTATGTGGAAATGAAAATTTGTTAAATTTGGGTCCAATCCAGTAGACAGAAGTGAAAAGTAAAAATACCTTAAAGTCCCGAGAAAGAGGTGCATACATACCGCCGTTGATTTCACAAAGAGCTCTATTAGGTCCCCCACTCATCTCTGCATTAATCCAGCTGAAGTTGGAGGTCTTGTTAAACAGCACCCGTGTCTTCAGCCCACTGGTGTCCGGGTTTCCGGCATCCCAGTAAGAGTACGACAGATAGGAGCCGTCTTCTCCAGTATATACCAGGCTATAGGATGGGTCGAACATCCCTGATATCACGTCGCTTGTTGATGTATTATACTGAAAACAACACGTTCTATATTAAACTTGTGTGTGTGATTAGTGTGCATGGGATTGGTATCAGGAATGACGCTTTTGTTGCATTACTGTAGACAACTAAACATGTTCTTAAAAATCACTATTTCTGTGAACTTGTCTACAATGTATGTTTGCGTATACATGTTTCAACGTGCGTGCGTGTGTGCGTGCGTGTGCGATCCTGTCAATCGACTCAATCATTTTTTTATCCTGAGCCATCCAAGCCAGTTTCTTTTTTACAATCGTTAGACAAAATAGGCAATGAGAAGAAAAATTCTAGAAATCCAACAAAGATATTAAATTATTCATTGATCTGAAAGCTAAACTATTTATACGCTCTAGCGAAGGCGGTAGACTAACATATATCACGTGAACGAAAAGATGACTTAATTTACACACGGCGACAACAGGTGAAGTATTTTACAAATGAAGAAATATAACACTCAGACGCGGAGAGGAAAGAAAGAGAGAGACAGAGAATGGGGGATGAATGGAGGAATAGAGAGAGATGGAGGGAAGGAGGTAGAAAGATAGAAATTGCCTACGTTCAAGATTTGAATGACATGATCTTGCTCTTCCCGGGAATTCACCACAGCGAGGTAGCCCCCTAGTTCAGTGCAGCCCTTTCTGTAGTCGTAATGGTCAGTGCGGTCAAATAGCAACTGATAACAACTGTACTGGCGTCCAAAGGACCAGCCGCTCGGACAGACAGTGCCGTCTGAGGGGGGTAAGTCTGTGAAATAAAACAATTGCGTTGGGAACTCCAGTAAGGAAACATATACATACATGTACACTTAAAATGATAATCGTGGCTCGGGTATTCACAAGCTCAGCTTCGAACTGAATTTTACTGCAGGGCAGCTGCAATTGCAAGACGTTTCTTTTATAAAGGACATTTCGGACACTCATTAGATACCGAAATATTGACTTGCAAAAAGTAACTCTGGTTTTAGATTTGCTCAAATAACATGAGCACTGCACTAAGCATATAACTCAACTGTCTCCACTGCGCAACAGAGAAAGATCACACCGATCGGAAACACATTTTGTTTCCGCACGCTGCCGATTTGTATTCACACTTATCCAAATGTAAAATGTAAAACTATGAAGCACATCACCTTGTTTGGTCAAATATTAGAGATTTGTTGTTAACGTCAAAACCAGTACGAATCTAACATGGGAGCATAGTCCGATAGAAAGATTTTTTCAACAAGTTGAAGTTCCGATTGATCTATGATTTTATCCATTAACACTTCGTAGTTATAGCATAAAATACTTACTTGGGTTACTGGTAGTGAAGGCCTGGGTCGTTGTCTGTGCCTGCGTAGTGGCTGCTTGTGTTGTTGGTGCCTGCGTAGTCGCTGCTTCAGTCGTTGGTGCCTGTGTAGTCGCCGCTTCAGTCGTTGGTGCCTGCGTAGTCGCTGCTTCAGTCGTTGGTGTCTGCGTAGTTGCTGCTTCAGTCGTTGGTGCCTGCGTAGTCGCTGCTTCAGTCGTTGGTGCCTGTGTAGTTGCTGCTTCAGTCGTTGGTGCCTGCGTGGTCGTTGGTTGCGTTAGTGCTGGCATAGTGGTAATATGAAAATCAGCAGGCGATAACTTACAGATGTGATATTGGAGAGACAGAACATCATTTTTTATTTTTTAGAGCACAATCCTGCTTGCATTATCAACACTGGATAACGAGTTCCTTTGATTAACATGTAAAATGTTTGTTTATATTATTTTACAAAGACTTGTTTTGCGGAGTGAATTCATTGTCTTGCTCTGGAAGAATGGTCAAACACATGCGCGTGCGTGTTTGTGTGCGTGTGTGTGCAATTTACCTACCATTTTCGCAGCTGGTTCCGCTAAATCCAGAAACGCAGGCACATGAATAGGAAAACAGCCCGTCTGTGCAGGTCCCGCCATTTTGACATGGTCCACTGGCACACTGGTTTACTGAGTCTGACCATGAACATGATTTAATAGTTTTACTGCACTGATTAGTTCATCTTGATCAAAGAATGATAGGCCTACATTCACAAAATTCAAAAGAACATTTTTATCCGCTTTCCACCCATCACTGTGACTTTTGCAGAGGAATGAATGTCTAATTTGACGTTATATGGCGCTATTTAACTACATGTAGAGGGGAATAAATTGGTATTCGAGGAAATAAATTGGTATTAGTCACACGTACGCATTGTGAATGCCAAAACGTGCACACATGCATAATGGAGAGAGAGAGAGAGAGAGAGAGAGAGAGAGAGAGATCACCTGTGTAGTCTTGCGCAATACATTTATCCATGGCTGTGGCCGCCTCGGACGTGGTAATCAATGTATCAAATATATACACGCATCTTATGTATCCCTCTAAGCGGTTATTGGTAGGAATCTCGCCGCAGCCTCCTGTATATTGCCTTCCTAAAAACAAGTGAATGCATGCAATATATGTTATGGACTTCATACATCTTATCTTGATGGGATGGGTGAAAACAAAACAAAACAAAACAAAGCAAAGAACAATACAATCCAACAAACAAACAAACAAACAGATAAACAAGCAAAAAACAAATTGAAACGAAAAACAGCCACACAGTGTAATTGAGCACTCTGCACGTGTACGGTGACATTTTTGGGCCGTCCACACATTCCTTATAGTGACATCGAGTATAGATATCGTAAGGAAACTTGCGCAAGGAACATGTATTCAATTCGTGCTTATTTATTAACACACACACACACACACACACACACACATAGACTTGACATTTAATATGGAATATTTCAGTTTCAAGGATATGCCTAGGTTGCACTGCTACATTGTGTAATATGCAGTGATTTAATTGGGTAGTGCTCCTTTGGGCTGGTCAAAGCTTGGCTTTGGTGCAGCATGGTTCTGTCA